AAGTAGACTATCACTCACCCACACCAGATGGAAAACTCTACAGACTATATATACCCCTCGTTTGTTGTCTTCTTCTCTCTCTCTGCCTACGGTTTACCGGGCAGTTCTATATATATATTCTCATGCTTGTTTTTTTTTTCCTCTCGAATTTGATTGTGAAATCCGAGTCCACCTTTGTATATTCAGAAATCTCGGTAAAACAATGAGTACAATAAAAATCCCGAATCAAGCTTCCAATTACAACAGAAAGAAAAGCAAATGCGTTAACCACCAATCCACCGGGTCTGTTTTCCTCCCTTCTTCTCTATCGCTCCATCCTCTCCACACACATACACGTGACATGACCGCCGTCATCATCTTCTCGACCATGGTCATGACCATCATCATCATCATCATCATCATCATCATCATCATCTTCGTTCCTTCTTCCCTCCTGCTCTCTGCTGATCCTTCCTCTCCCTCTTCCATCCACTTCTCTTCCCGCATCATATCTACTCAACTCGTCGATTCACTCATCTGCCTTATTTTTCTCTCTCTCTCGCTCTCGATCATAGCCCTGGCCATCACGATCATCATCATCATCATCACCTTCGTTCCTTTGTCTCTCCTGCTGCTACCTCATGCTTCTTCCTCATCCTCCGCCCTCAACTTTCCTTTCCCCCTCCCTTTCGACGCTGTACGTTGATCCTCGCTCCGTCAACATAAGAGAGTTTATGATGGGCAAATGGTTGGCGACCGGTACCACGCTCTCCCCCTCCGCTCTCCAGGGTCGATCTTCTCCTCCCTCCCTGCTTGTTTCCTGGCTGCTCTTCTACTTACGGATCCGACCTCCCTTCCTCCTTCGTTGTCGTCCGTCCATCCCTCGCTCCCTCTCCCCACTCTCCATGCTCAATCTTTTTCTCGCTCCCTGCTGGTTTCCTCGCTGCTCTTCCCCTCCCTCCGCTTTGCATGCTCAATGTTCTCCTCACTTCCTCCTTCGCTCTCGTCAGTCCATTCCCCACCTTTCTCCCACCTTCGTCCTCGCCTTCGTTCGTCGACAAAGTCCACCCCGCTTCGCCTCTCTTCCCTCCCCATGCTCAATCTTCTCATATCRTTCCCGGCTTGTGTCCTAGCTGCTCTTCCCCTCCCTCCACTCTCAATGCTCAATCCTCTCCTCCCTTCCTCCTTCCTTCTCGTCTGTCCATTTCACGCCCTTCCCCCACCTTCGTGCTTGCTTGTTCTTCCTTGAAGGCAGAGAGAGAGAGAGAGAGAGAGAGAGA